GAAAGGAAAGAAATCTATACATACAAGATTTTCATGAAGTCCAACGCCTGAATCAAAATGCCTAATCATACTTCTATGCACATGTTCACAAAGTTGTGGTAAGAAAGGAAGAAGCAGCTAGGAGACAAGCTGTCAATTATTCAGAGGCCACATCAGTAACAGAAAATAAAGACCTCACTTGGTGTATAGGCCTGCATAACTGTATGTATAACAGGTAAAGGGTCCAAATAAGAGGTTATGGAAGGAGACAATAAAAAAATAGCAATCCACTCAGAGATAATGGTCCTCATGTACTAAGGCCTGGTGTGTAAATGACCTCTACCAATGACTGGCATCACTCAGTCTTTAAAAATACTGACATGACTCTTACATGCGTGCCTATTTTTTGTCTAGGTACAAATGAATGCATATCATATTCTCTATTTATACTGGCATTCCAGAAAACTTCTTTGTACTCATGCAAAACCTATACATAGACCAAGGGGATATCACATGTTTCAAATCAAGAAAAGTGTGTCAAAGTTGTATCCCTTTACCATACTTAATTCAATATGTAGACTGAACAAGTAATTCAGGAAGATGGGACTACATGGAGAAGAATAGGGCATCAGGATTTGAGGGAAGGCTCATTAACAATCTGCAATACAGAATTGACACAACATTGATTGGTGAAAGCCAAGAAAACTTCAAACACTTACTGATGATGATCGATGCCTACAACTTTCAGAATAGATTACAGATCAATGTAAAGAAAACAAAAATCTTCAAAATTTGACCAATAGAACATCTTAATAAATGAAGAAAAGTATGAAGTTATTAAAGATTTCATTTTATATGGAGCCACACCAACATCTGTGGAAAAAGCAGCCAAGAAATCAAGACATTGCACTGAGCAAATCTACCACAGAAGACTAAAGTGTTAAAAGCAAAGATGTTACTTAGCATTTTTAACTGCTTCATATGCATATGAAAGCTGGGCAGTGAATGAAGCAGAGACTGAAGAAAGAATCATTCTACCCTGTCCTGTAGGATCTCTATGAGCCAGCATCGACTCAATGGCAGTGAGTTTGGTTTTGGTTTTGAATGGTCTTCAAAAAGTGTGTGGGAAAATCCCACAATCATTTAATAATACACACACAAGGGTTAAGCCCTGGTGGCATAGTTGTTACAAATTGGGCTGATAGCCCCAAGGTCAGTAGTTTAAAACGACCACCAACTCCTTGGGAGAAATACAAGGATTTACTTCTACTGCCTTAAAACAGTTAGTCTCAGAAACCATCAGTGACAGTTCTGCCCAGGTCTATAGGGCTGCTAAAATATCTGAATATATATATGGTTATAATTGTTTTCTTTTTAATTTACTTTTTACATAATCAACATATCATAATAATACAATCATATAAAGAGGAATTGAACAATCATTACTCCAATCAATTTTAGAACATTTTCCCCCCATGGTTAAAACGCTTTTAAAATGAGTTGCATAATCATCATCAGTTCTAGAGCTCCTTATCCCCTCTTGCCGACTTTGTTTGCTCCCCCAACTCCCTCACCTTCTCTATCTTCCACCCCCCTACTCCCCTAAAACCATCCATCAATTATTATTTCTATGCATCTACTCCTTCTTTGCTTCACCAACTGGAGAACCAAACAGAAACAGTAAGAGAAACAAAATAAAGTGGTAAGGATAAAATAATAATACAAAGATAAGAATATAAATGATGCATAAGAAAGAAAAGACCATCATCAGTATTTAAAAGGGCAGGAAAGAAATTTTTGCCATGAAGCAAGCAAGAAATACTTGCACCTAGAACAATTTCAGGTTGAGTCAAGAGGGAGGTCAACTGAACACGAATCAAGTTCAATTACAATGATCTCTGATAGTACAGCTGTTCGAGACCCTTGCCTGTGTCTAGCGGAGAACTGCCAGAGGCTTAATCTGACTAGAGACCCTGCAGACCAGTTTGGGGCTCCTACTGTCCTCCATAACCTTCTACATACTGGGTGTTCACAATTTAGGCTTAGCTACTTCTCCCTTTGTCATTTTTGAATTTTGTTATTGTCGTCTTTGGATCACACAAGCTGGTGTACTTCCTTCCATGTGGATTTAGTTGACTTCCTGCTTAGATGGCTGCTTGTTTGAATACAAGCCTTTAATACCCAGACAGTATTGACTGATAGCCAGGCACCATCTGCTTTCTTCACCACACTTTGCAGTAGCACTCTTATCTTCAGTGATTTCATGAAGGTCAGTATCGAGCAGGACCATATTATCAGAACTAATTGTTCTTAGATTGGGGCTAGGGTTAAGTGGGGTCCCAGAATCCATCTGGGATCTACATGACTCAGGTTGACTTTAGCGATTGTATTAGGTCAAAACCAAATCCCCTAAGAACTACCCCAAGAACAGTAACAAACCAATGAGCAGACAACAAAAACAAGGCAGGAAAACAAAAACCCATAGAAACAGAAAAGTACAATATTATCAATCATTGCCTGGGGTATAAGGCAGTTGCACAATGACACAGCACTCTGGGCACTGTTGGTAATGAGTTTATGCAAGTAGTGTTCCACTGAATTGTTGCTCCACACAGTTCGATTTCCCATTCGATTGAGCTCTGTTTACCCTAAGCATGGAGGTTGTAACAGGGGGAAACTTCCTGGATCAATTCTTCCAAGTTCAGATCTCTGTCCAACAGATCAAAACCTATCATGTCACTGTGAAGGGAATATCAAGGTACTAAACACATGGTGATTCTGAGTCCCTTTCCATTAGACACCCACCAAGTCAGGGGTTCCCCCCCAAGGTCCCATGACTGCCATTTCCACAGGTCCAGGGTGGCCACTCTCTACTTCTTCTCCCATCTGAGAACCCCAGTACTCAGCCCAAGGATGCAGGTATCTTTGGGGCAGGACTCAGTTCATTCTGCCAGGCCTCTATGCTACATCGTGGTATAGTCCCTGGGTTATGCCATGCTGCCTGCGAGGTCAGTGTCCAAAGTCATCGTGGTGTTTAGTCCATGGCGTGGTTCATTGTGGGTTGGGTAGAAACATATTCATAGTGTCTACGTGGGTACAGGAAATCTGGTCCATTACCCACCTATGTTCTCTATAATCATCGTATAGCAAACCTTTCCAATGTGAGGTTCCTTCTCCCCAGTCACCCACCACACTCACCAACAGAAACATCAGTGTTTCCTCTGAAATGCAGATGCTCCTCTCCCCTGGTCTTGGGCATGATTTTCTGGCAAGATTTTCCTTACATTCCTGTGGGGGGGCACCCATTGATTTGTCCCAGCCTTGTCTCAGCCTCAAGTGAATGGTATTCTCCCATTTCCCTAATCTTGAAAGAATGGCCCCAGACCAGTGGTTCTCAACCTTCCTAATGCCGCGACCCTTTAATATAGTTCTTCATGTTGTGGTGACCCCAAACCATAAAATTATTTTCGTTTCTACTTCATAACTGTAATTTTGCTACTGTTATGAATCAGGTGACCCCTGTGAAAGGGTTGTTTGTCCCCCCAGTGGTCGCGACCCATAGGTTGAAAACTGTCGCCCCAGCCAATGTGAGGTTTCCTCCTTCCTGGAGGCTCTTGTGGTACATAAAAGGGAGGTGGTGTATGGTTCATGGCCTTCTCCCCTTTTGTTCAGAAGTTGATCCCTAAGATTTGTTTAATTTGTACTTCTTATACTAGTGGACTCAAACAATATTTGTCCTTTGGTGATTGACTTACTTCACTCATCAAAATGATTTCTAAGTCCTTCCATGGCATGTGGTATTCATGTTTTCATCACTTTTTTTAGGGATGCATAGTATTCTGTGTGTGTATACACCATAGTTTCTTTATCCATTCTTCTACTGCTGGGCATTTGGGTTATTTCCAGTTTCTTGCTATTGTGAACTGTGTTGCTATAAACATGGGAGAACATACATCCACTGCTGTTGTGTGTCTTATTTCTTAGGGTAAATGTCTAATAGTGATATTGCTGGATTATATGGGACTTCAACTTCCAGTTGCTTTAAGTATCACCGCATCATTTTCAATAGCAGCTGTATGCATTTATAAGTCCACCAACAATGTATACGAGTTCCAATAGCTCCAAATCTTCTCCAGCACGTTTTTTTGTTTTTTCATTTGGGCTAGCAAAGTGGGTGTAAAGTGGTATTCCATTATGGTTTTAATTTATATCTCCCTGATGGTTAGTGATCATGAGTATTTTTTCACGTGTCTGTTAGCCATTTGTACTTCATTTTTGATGAACAGTCTGTTCGTGTCTTTTTCCTATTTCTTAATTAGGTCTCTTGTTATTTTCTTATTGAGCTGTTGTGCAGTTCTGTATATTTTGGTCACTGGCCCTTTTTGTTCGATGTGTCATTGGGCCCTCATTTCACTCTCCTGATGAAGTCTTTCAATGAGCTTTAGTGATGTAATTTCAACATATCCCATTCATCTATATTGTATTCTGCTGTAGTTTATATATGCCCTGCAATACGGCCTATCAGTTTATTCCAGCCTTCTCTTGGGTGATCCTGAGAGCTTTGGGGTTTACATTTAGATATGGGTCTGATTTCACTCTTCTGTATAAGGAAATCCTGTATGTCCAATACCTTTTGTTGAAGAGGCTATCTTTGGGGATAGCCAAGTGGGATATTTCTAGGTCCTTTGTCAAAGGCCCTTTGTAGGTTGATGCATTTCTGTCTGGGTTTTCTGTTCTGATCAGTTTGTCTATGTATCTATTGTTGTACCAGTACCAAGCTACTGTAATTTGTTTTATAATCTTTTATTTCTTTAAAAAATGTTAACAAGGCAAAATGTGGAAGGATGACTGTATAATCATTACATTAGTCTTTATACCTTGCTTTTCTCCATACTTTGCATGAAATATTTCATTAAAAAAAAAAGATAAATTATGAAACAAACAAAATAAATGTTAGAATCAAGAATACAATCAAATTCCATAGCATAATTCCCAACATTAGGAAAATCATGTGCACATACCCTCCATACACCAAGAATTCATTTGAAGCATGTCTGGCAGTGGTTCCCATAGGCATATCATCTTAAGAAAAAGAAAAATACGGTGAGTTCTGTTATACTGCATGTTTAAGAAATACAAAATTTCCCCTATACTTATTATTAGAGAATAATCTGAGTACAACACAAATTCAGCATTTGCTCATGCTGCGATTTTGTCCTTGAGAAACAATATGCAAACACACAAAAGCTGAACCTAGCGGAATGCATAGCTGTATCCCCACCTCCTTCGATGCCCATTTTTATACGTAAACTTTAGGTAGTTCTTAAAGTTACGTACCATATTTATTATAATATTTATCTATTTATTTACGGTTTACATTTGTTATCATTTTATCAAGTTGTTTTTAATGTACCACTAGCAAAGGTATTAAGCATTGTGCCCCTAAATGTTATTTTGACTATAAGATCTGTAGTTTTCATTATACAAATTTCTTGCACAGTTATTTTTCAGGAACACATATATCACAGTACAACAGAACTTACTATGTAACTTAAAAGTCTGGATCTATATAATGAGAGTATGTATAAACATCTTCCTGCACATTATACAAAACATATACCTAAGAGGTGGGTTACTGAATCAGATCTAATGGAAGCTGGTACTTCTTGTACTGAGTTAGCACACGTCTAGCTACCCCTATGTCATTAGTATACGTGATTACAGCACAACTCAGAATTAAGAGACACTACTCATTCTCTATCATTACTATTTCCAATGGATCACACTGCCCTATGTGAGAGAAAATGGATGTAGTATGTGTTAATGTGAAGTTTAGCAGTAATGGCCAATAACATAAAATTCAAAGTTAATTGTAAAGCTATACTGCTAATTTATATATAGCAGGATAGTTGCTTATATGGGAATGGAGGAAATATGTTGAGTTTGAAACTAAAAATAAAACAAAGTTATTTTTTTTAAATACCTGTAAGTCAAATATACAATAAAACAATGAGAATTAAATATGTTACAAGTTGGTACACTAACTTGTAGAGGTGAATTATTTCTAATGACTTTTAAAACTCAGTAACTTACACAACTCTAAAGAGATTATTCTATAGATAACAAGATTCACAAAAAAATTTAAAATGGATTTCAGTTATGATGTATGTAAGACAGATATTTACTTTTGTACCATATTAGTTTGAGATTATAGCCAAAAGGATATTATAAAATAATGTTGTAAATAATTATGTTAATAGTATTAGGACCAAAGATTTCTTGTTTAGCTAGAAAGAGATACAAATATAAAATTTAACTAAAAACATAGCTGATTCTTAAGTGAATAGGCTTATCAGTGTGAGCTGATGGTATATTTCTCTTGACTATGTGTGTATGTACACCCTTACATATATATGCAGTTCCTAGCTCTGTTCACTGAGAAGCCCTAAAAATAATGACCAACCCTGGGGAAAAAGCTCATTTAGCAGCCAGATCATGGTCTCTAAAAACTAATTTAATAGTCATTAGGGTTCATTTAAAAAATGACGGCTTACGACTAAGGCTGTATTAGGTCTTTAATCCATCTTGCATTTGTTTCTGTGTATTTTATTTTGCTGTGTTTGCTTATTATGTAAAATTAAAAAGTAAAGAAGCTGTCAATGATTAGGAGGATCATGCCAATAAAACACAAAATCCCTTGACGAACTCCCACTAGCCAAAGACATGATTATTTAAACATCAAAACTAATGACAAAGGATTAAAATATGTGAGTTTTTAATTGATACTTAAAAAAGGAATTCTTATTATTTACCCTCAGAGGATTTTAAGGAACTAAAACTCATTATTCTTTAAATCACTTAAAAAAAAGTTACCTTAGGGTAACCATATCTAGAATTTTTTAAATAAAAGAATTTCAGTTAATAATAGGAAAATAACACAATATAATAATGCACCATTTACAACCTCTAATGAAATCATAAATCAGTATTGCTCAAACTATTAAATTAAAAGCCATTGGGAAATCATATAATGGATGGATCAAGCTAAGAACACCTACATTCAGACTTAACATTACAATAAAAGAGACAATCAGGCATGAAGTGATTCTTGGTAGACCTAACAGAAATACAAAATATCACCGGAGACACACTGTGGGAATTGCACCCGATCTGATCCCACCACACCGAGGCAAAACACTAAGGGGGGTGTAACAGAACAGCAAGGGAACAGAGCAGCGAGGTCCCCAGGGAATGCTGAAGGTGGACTTTGGGGCCAGGGCATGGTGCCCCAACAGACTGAACTGGAAAACACTCCTAAAGCCAACCAAAAGTCCTTGAATTAACTACAAGCTTTTCTTTCTTGTTGTGTTTTGTTTTGTTTTTTTGCCATTGGTTTGTTGTTGCTGTTGTTGTATATTGTTGCTTGGTTTTGCTCTGTCTTGTTTTTGTGCATGTTATTATCTCCGCAGGTCTGTCTAAATAAGATAGGCTGGATGAA